AATTTATAGAAAAACCATGAGTGATTGTTCCTATAGAAACTTGTTTTGTTTTACAATAGAAGATGTAACAAGACAGAACCCTGTTTTGTCTCACTGCTGTCTCACTGCAACAAAAAGCAGAAAAGAAGTTGTCTTCATGATTTGATAAGAGGGTCATAAATAATTAGAAAATTCTATTCTTCATGCCAGTTTCCAGGCAGACCATGAAGAAAAATCTGGACTTCACAAGTTTTCATTTTTTCCTCATTCTGGTGATATTTGTCTGTAGTTACTCCTGCAGCTGTTTTAACCTCTCCTGGGAAGATGCAGATACTACCATGGAGCGGGAAGAAATTTCTGAAGGTCAGCAACCCAATGACCTGGTTCAAGCAGTCGGAAGGAGCCTGTTTACAGCTGCTCAGCGGTGCTACTGGATGAGTGGTGTTGTTTCTGCTTTTGTAGCTGGAGATTGTACAGGTCAGAGCAGCTACTGGGGCTCCAAGAAGGTGACAGATGCCATGTTATGAGCACCAGCGCTCTGCCCTCCTCTTTCTCCCCAACTCTAGGGAGCAGAAGGCAGGCGTTAAAAGAGTAAGTGGTGATGGACCATACGATCAAATCACGGGGCTGAAGGAGAGTATAGTTCAGATCAATCAGGAAAGAAAAGGCCAAAGAGACTCAGTTGAGCATCTCATTAAAACTGTCTGCTGTCTTCGGGAAGATGAAACAGCTTGCAGTCATCTGTGCTGACTGGATGCTATGGTGATACTACATTGTGACAAAGAGAGAAACAGAAAGGGATCCTGGAGCTCGGTGAGATTAACAGGTCCTCCCTCTATCTCTGCTCCTTGTGGATCTGCTTAGTGCAGCGTTTGGCTGTAACCCTGTAGCCCTTTACACAAAGGTTCGATCGACATCACTCCCATCAAGTCTTTTCTGAGATGGGGCTCAAAACACTTAGCAGTGATTTTGGTGGTCTTCAGTACAGCTCTAGCAGAAATGCACAGCTAAAGGAGCGTGAGAAAAAAATATGCTTTAATACCAGAAATGGGTCCACAAAACCAAAAACTAAAAAAAGACTTAAGAGCCATTAACAATAAGAAAAAGCAGCATGATATTACAATTAACATTTTACTTAGAAAATGCTCTTTTGTTGTGTTTTTTTGTTGTTGTTGCTTTGTTTGTTCCATAGAAATGATATGCACTGAATCACAGCAGAAAAAAATCACTCAAAATTGCAAATGTTGGCAACCTTCTTCTGATGAGATTAAGCTAATTACCTTTACTTTAAAAAAGAAAAATCCTATGACACATTCTTCCAACTCAGAAAATACAAAAAATCAGAATTTTCAAAATATCATTACAGGACAACTGAAAAGTTAGCACTTTAACTGCACTTTTTACTCTCCTTATCACAGAAATTTATCCTGTCCTGAGGTCTGAGGCCTGCACACACATTCAGATGAAGCTTGCTTCTGTTTAACTATGAAATGCAATGAAGTGGGACCCTACGAATTTTCTGTGTCAATGGGAATTTTCACTCCTCTGGCTGAGCCACAAAGGTTTATAAAGGACAAAGATTTGCTAATCAACTGTATTAGAAATCAAAGAAATAAATACCATGGATCACAGTGAGAATTTTAAATATAATCCAGGGATGGTGACAGAACACAGAGCTATAAATAAATTATTAAACAGCTTTCTCCCACTTCCTCACTCCACTTTTCAGGAAAGGCTTAGTATCGGGGTGGTGGCAAGGAAGTGTGATGCTCCAACAGCTGCGTGTACTGCCCTCCTCATTGCTTCTTGTTTTTCATACCTCTTCCATGGAAGGTTTTCTGGTTTGTGCTAATACTGCAAGATCATTTACATCAAATGATAGCATATTCACAATACTACTCAATCCAGAACGAATTTCTGGAACTATAGTCTTGCTTTTCTTTAGTCAGAGGTTTCCAAATAAATCAACCAACTAAGATAAATTGTATGAAACACTTGGTAGATATACTCATTTAAACTCTCTGTTGGCTCACATGGCTCCCATGTCCAATTAAGAGCAAGCTGTATTATTCACCATGTTGCAAAAGTGCTCTGGAAATGCTTTTGCTGTGTTTCTGAACTCAGATCAAAACACCAATACATCCTTTTAACATCACTTTATAAAAGAAAAATAAAATGAATGTAGCTCACCACAAAACTGAACTATGGCGATAGCAACATTTGACTGATACAATGTATATTTTAGAAACATACTTCAAATTTAAAACTTGTTTCCTCAAATACACATTCTGTATCCATTCCTTAACTGCTACATCAGCCTTCCAGCAGAAGAATATTGAACAGCCAAAGGGCATCTCGTCTTGCTGTGCATCATTAAAATAATACTGAGCAAGATCTCCAGGCTATTAAATTTACTTCTTCACTGAAAATTATAAATCATCTGAATAAAAACAATTCTGCAATGAACATGATCCACAATTTTCTGATCATATGTTTGGGTATGAACTGACTTGTAGTGCCATGTTGACCTCTGCAAGAAAAGTTCATTCTTCACAGTACCTATTCTGCTATGTACCTAAAGGCATGTAAATGGTTCACGTTCATTTCTGGCTTTTGATACACGTGTTGTATTATAGCACCTGCAACTGAAGACCTCAAAGCAATTTGCAAGCATTAATCAGCTGAGCCTCGTGACTATTCAGCCATTATGTTATTTCACAGATTGGTAAACAGAGACACAAAAACACATCAAACTTCTCATAAGAGAAGAGGGTCATAAGTGAGGTGCAACAGCTTTATCTTACACTTTCTTTCCCCTAGAAAAGGACTTTTCTATGTACTGTTTCACCTTAAAGGACAAGGAAAGCAGCATTAGTAAGACTTGTCCCAGTACTCCTGTGAGCAAATACAGAGCAAAGAAATGTAGTCAGTTAGAATCCCTCCTCCCTTCCTTTCTGCCCTTTCCTGACAGTGCTGTTGACACAGAGCTCTGGTCCCTGCCAGCAAGCTGGAACCAGCCAGGCCCTGGAAGTGACTATTGAAATACTACTAAAGGATCTGGTTCCTCAGGGCTACAAAATTCTAATGTGGTGCAGCCAAAGCCCAAGAGGAGTTACAAGCTGTTCCATTACACTTTATAGGCTAGGCATGCCATGTCACCAGCTTAAAAACTGCACCAAACCAGCTTACACCCTCAGTGATCTTTTCTTCTCCAATGTCCCCTCATTTTGCAGTGGTGGGACCTTCTTACATGCCAAAAGATTGTTGTACCTGAAGAAATGAAGATCCTTCTTCCTGGTTATACACTTGGCCTGTGTCTAGCCCCTAGCTAGGATTATCACCTGTGCAGATCTAATCAGCTCTAATCAAGTTCACTCAAGTACCAAAGCAGGAACACGCAGTCAGACTGCAGGCTGTCTGATCCCACTGGGACTCTGCTACCCGAGCAGCTGCTCCTGCAGCCCTCTGCACTGAAAGCAGTACTCAGCCAGCTGTGATTACACCTTCACAGTGGGAGCGAGCCCCTTAGCCTGAGGAATTTACAGTTTAAACAAACAAGGCAGAGAAATGAAATCAGAAATCACAAATGAAACAGAGTTCAACTGGAGTCCAGTGAGAATGGATAACTGCAAATGATGCATGTCTGAAAAGCAAGGCTGCTAACCGCTTTCATTAGCAATGAAAACTGTCTTGCAGAGACAGAAAAGCTGAGGTTAGCTCATAAACTGAGTGTTTGTTCCTCTTCTCTTCAGTGACTCTGTGGCATGTTATCATGTCACTCGTGTAAATATTTCAAAGAGAAGTTCCCAGTGCCAGTGCTTTGCTATAGCCACTGCTGTTGAGAAGGGCTATACAAACATCTGCCATATATTCTTCAAATATAATTCAGCCAGCATTTTTGTTTACATGATTTATCCTTTATAACCAGCACTCAGCTGCAACTTTCAGCCATAGCTGCATTATTAAGAATGAACCTTTTTTTTAAAACACAGTACATTTTGCAATAGGAGAATCAATATACAGTAACCCAGAGCACTTCAGACAACAGCTGTAAAATATAATCTGATGGCAGAAAGTTAAGAACAGTATTTTGGCAGTTATATGTTCAGCTAATCTTTCACTTCTTGTTGTTAACAGTACCAGGCTATAAAGACCTGTATTTCTCCCTGTCTAGTGACCAAAAGCTACACACGTTTTCCAGCATTGTAACGCCATTAGCAGAGGTAAAATATAAATCACTCGTTACTGACTTTTTTCCTAATAGGTTATTGCAGCTATTCCCAGGGCTGTAGCAGCTGAACAACAGGCCCCATCTCAGTGATCTCACAGACCTTTCTAAGACACTTTAGCATAAAGAGTACATTGAAAAATGACTAAATACTTTTCACTGCTTTCACTTTGGCTGCGGTTGAGGATGTTCAGATCTGTTCAAGGCTGGGATTCAATGCATTAGTTTTTACCGAACTTATCTAGCCAGAAAAGAGATGAAGCCACTGCTGTGCCTGGTATACAGAACATAGAATAAACATAAATATCCTACTAAAGGTTTGATAATGTGCTACTTTGTCTATATTAGTGCAAAGTTTACCCTGAGAAACAGACTATTCCACGTACATTTCTATGCCATCATTAAATATTGAATCTAGGAATAGAACAGAACCTATTTTTGGAACCTATTTCTCTTTAGAAAGTGGGAGAAGATCAGTTCTCTGAAATATATGAGATTTGCTTTGATCACAAAATAAACTCGAAGACCATTTTTTTTTTGGTGAGTGAAAGGCAAAGGGTGCCACATCGTTCTGTACCGAAATTGATTTGTTCACCATATCCTCCGGACTGCATTTTCCTCAAATAACAAAACTGGTTGTATTTTCTTTTTTAAAGGTTCTCAATCCAAATTTCTACGTTGCGAATGCTTTAATTAAGACCGATGCATTCCATTCTATGAGCGTTCAGACGCCGATGTGGAAGCTTTATCTTGAACCGCATTGCCCTCTAGCGCTGCGCCGGGGCCGCCCCGTGATGTCAGCAGCGCAGCCCGCGAGCGCAGGCAGCGGCTCCCGCAGAGCCCCGAACTGCTGACAAACCCCTCGGAGACGCACGTCAGAGCAGCTAACGGGGGCATCCTTCCAACCGAACCACAAATGCACGAGGGAAAACAGTAAACCTGTCTTTCATTTCAGGGACCGTCATGATCAAAACAGCTACTTTCGACATCCGGCCAAGACCTCTGCCTGCTAATTTCTGTTTAAACGAGTTGATGTGAGAAATTAAGCGAGTTTGAACAGGCTGTTATTTCCGACAGGCTTTGGAGGACTTCACGCTGTGCAAGTTTTACGTGCTGAAAGCTAACAGCTTGCTGGAGAGATGAGTTCTCAATCCAAACCTGGCGGGGGCTTTGCAGCAACTTCTTGGGTGGAGAGAGAACTTTCTGCTGAACTCAACCATCTGCGTGTTGTGCACAGGATCCAATCATAACCTGCTATGGAGAATTACTGTTAAGATGAGTGCCTACCTTGCTGAGAAATCCAATTCATCAATACTTGGATATTTGAAAGTGTCTGCATTAAATAGCAGCAATCTTTCTGCAAACAGCTCCAATGAGACAACAAGCAACCTGGATTTGCCTACCTTGGATATCAGTAGGGCGATAACTGTGGGGCTCATCCTAGGTGCCTTTATACTCTTTGCTATTATAGGTAATATTTTGGTAATTCTCTCTGTTGCTTGCAATAGACATTTAAGAATCCCTACAAACTATTTCATAATTAACCTTGCAATAGCAGATTTGTTGCTGAGTTTTACTGTCCTTCCATTCTCTGCTACACTGGAAATCCTTGGCTACTGGGTTTTGGGGAGGATATTTTGTGATATCTGGGCAGCAGTTGATGTGCTCTGCTGTACAGCTTCTATTTTAAGTCTATGTGCAATCTCCATAGATAGATATATAGGAGTACGTTATTCTCTTCAGTATCCAACTTTGGTAACAAGAAGAAGAGCAATTCTAGCTCTCCTAGGTGTCTGGGTCCTTTCCATGGTAATTTCTATTGGACCTCTTTTGGGCTGGAAAGAACCAGCACCCAAGGATGAGAAAGTGTGCCGTATCACTGAAGAACCATTCTACGCTTTGTTTTCTTCCTTGGGGTCATTTTACATTCCTTTAATCGTCATCCTCGTCATGTACTGTCGGGTCTACATAGTGGCCAAAAGGACTACAAAAAATCTGGAAGCCGGGGTTATGAAAGAAATGTCCAACTCCAAGGAGCTGACGCTACGGATTCACTACAGGAACATTCATGAGGACACCTTAAGCAGCAACAAATCCAAGGGTCACAATCCCAGAAATTTCTTAGCTCTCAAACTTTTAAAATTCTCTAGAGAAAAGAAGGCAGCCAAGACGCTGGGAATTGTGGTTGGCATGTTTATCTTGTGCTGGCTACCTTTCTTCATTGTTCTGCCTCTAGGTAAGTTGGTAATCAAGGGAATGTGGGGAGGGAGAGGAAGAGCATAGTTGTTTACTATAAAAATCCCACAGAAAATAATCAGATGAATGAGAAGTACATAACCATTTTGAGAACTGCATTGAACAGATAAAAGGGTGGGAAGTGAAAGTAATTTATTTCTAATGTTGGCTTTTTCTAAGGTTCATGCGACAGCCTTGCAAAGTGGGCAGCCTGCATTAAGTCTGCCCATCTGAGCCCTCCTCAGTGATGTCAAATCAAGGGATAATGCTGTCAGTTTACATATAAAATCCTCTCTCATGGGTTTTGTTTAGACTGAATTAGCTTGTATAGGAAGGTTTAACAAAACTTTTGTAGACAGAAACAAAATTAGTTTCAGCATTGAAACTTTCTCTGTTCCAGTTACTGCTGCAGGTTCAGACCATAAAACAGAGTCTTCAAACATTACAAAGTGTCTTAAGTGAAAATGGGCCCAACCAAATGATGAGGTGAAAAACCCTTCTGATCTTTAGGAAGCTGAAAGAGTCCTGGTTCTCAGTTCAAATTTCATTGATCCAATCCCAAAAAATAAATCCTCGAAGCCCACTTCTCTCTGCCAAACTGTTCCCTTTGGTTTCAGTAGGTCTCCGTTCAGGCATTCCAGGAGATCGTCCTGTGCATTTGTGACAGCAACCTTAAACTTCAAAATATTATTAAAGTATTCAACTCGGCCTTAACAGTGCACTGCATTTCAAATCCTTATGAAATCTGCTTACACTGTCTTTAATATCAGCATCAGCTCTAAAGAGGAACATTTCAAAACCTGTTAATATTGAATTACTATGCTCTGAAAAATATCTGTTCAACATTCACTTCTGAGACACAAACTGTCAGACTAAATACAGAGAGGTGGAGAAAAAAAGGGAGGAAAAGCCTTTATCAACATTCTGTGTTCACGTTTACTTACTGACCCTACCAAAACATTTCTAATTGAGTGGTGAATAATTTTAGAGTAAAAAATTAAACTGTGTTTAACAGCATTGGTCGTGGTGAAGTGTTTTGAGATTACAATTTCTAGTCTAAGTGACATTGCGTCTTCACTGAATGTCAACCAGAGCACATCTGCTGCAGCTATTGAAGAGTCACCGTTGCCTCTAACTTAGTGTGTCTAAAACTGAAAAGTCTTCATAATTCATGATCTACATAAAGCTAATGCTGAGCTTATTACAAATTCCAAACAGAAGAAAAATTGAGAGCAAAGTTCTCCTTGGCTACTAAAATTTAAGTCCTATGCTATCTCTTAAGAAAGAAAGTTCACAACATAGAACAAGTTTCCAACCATTGCTGAAGTACATACTTAAGTGGATAGAAATTTATTTTCCCCATATATTACCAGCAGTAGCACTGGATACGTATCTACTAGGTCATGTCTCCTCTGATTCTGAATTATTGGAGGAACTTTGGAAATAAAAAGCAAGCATGAATGCAACAGAACACATGCTTAGCTAGCAGAAGCCAGTACTAGCACTGCTGCTGGTGCTACTCAGCAAACAGATGCAAACTAGTCCATTAAAACCATTTTGGCAACAGGGGATAACTAATATGACAAACAACTAAGTTTTCTGGAAGGGAGTCAGTTTTCCCATTGGGAAGTTACTGCAAAATTCCTGGTCTTTACCAGGAGGTTTAATGAGTGACTGATTATGACAAATGAGTGGAGAATTCACAGCTTGTCACAGTATTCTTTTATCTCTCATTTATCTCTCATCTCACTTGTGCCCAAGCCATCAGTGAAGAAGACAGCCACTCCAGCAAGCTCTATTGGTAGCAGTGCCTGGCAGGCTGAAAGGCGACCTGCTGCTGTGGGCTCTGACCCAGCACAGCTTGGGTGCCAGTGAATCTCAGCACGCTCACTTCAGAGCTGTGAGCTCCTGGTGCCTCACAGAGCTGTGGGTCAGGCAGAGCTGCTGTTGTTACAGTTAATACTAGAACAGTGAAAAAAATAAGCGTGTCAGCACTGCTAGTGCAGTGGGAAAGAACTGCTATTGCAGGAGGGTAAAAAAAGATATGCATAGTATCCAACAAAATATCCAAATGTATTTAAACATTTGGTGGTGGTACTTCCTTTGTTTTACTGACAAAGAATAGTGCAGTTCTCATTCCTTGCCCCACTCCTTTTTTTTTATTTACTCAGGACACTCCAGAGTCTTGTACTTTTCACATCTGTAGCAGTGCATTCATGTACTTTGTGTCTGTATATTAATGCTGCTAGGGATGACTAAGCATTGTTCACAAAAGCAAGTGGGGAAAAGACCTTTTCCCAACCTGCATAATTCAGTCGTTCCCAATGGGAATACTGGGTACAGCAATGGAGAACTTCCTAAGGAGCTTTGCTATGTGCTACATTTTTCATAACAGAAATCTTTTCATTTTTGTCTTGAAGTTACAAACATAAAGGAAAAGTTAAGAACCCTTATGAAAAGCACACAGTGATACAGAATCCATTTTAGTGATAGGCAAATGTAAAATCCAAGCTGTATCAATGATTTACAAAACTCAACAGGTGCCTGGACTGCTCCAGTCACAATCTACTCACCCACTGTTGCAGAACTGCAAACTACAACACCTCTTCTACTTCTGATTCCAGACTAGATATTTGCCTTCACTGTAGTGAAAGGCTTCTTCCTCAGCCTGTATTTTTCATGCCCTTATATCTACAAACACCAATCTAAATCATACGTTCACATCTGCATCTTTAAAACGTGTGCCTTGTTTCACTCAGTAATGCAATGAGTGCACAGTGGTGTTAGCAGAGTAGCTCTGGACTTCTGATGATTCAGCTGCAACACATTTGAAAAGTCAGTAATCCTTGTTTCTGCAGCACTCCAAAACTAGGAGTTAGTAAATCTGCTTATACGTAGGAGTTCTCCTCATGTCAAAAGCATTCTCAGATGTTCTACTAGTTGCCCAGCCAAAATTATAATTGTTGGGTTGTGGCACATTAATATATACAGCTATTCTTTTTTATATTCCAGACAAAGGATTATTGCATCAGATGGCAGATAAATGCTGGGAACTGATGTGGTGTTGAAAGCAAGGATATTGCTTGAATAAATATTCCACAACAAAGGGTGATTTTCAAGCAAGAATCACAAGGCTTTGCAAAGAAAGCTCTCTGACAGAGCTCTGTATACAGCCCCAAAGGGAAATTAGAGCACAGACACCGTGAGGTGTTGAGTACTGTAAAACTATTAGCACAAAGAAGCACCTGATGATGCAGCAAAACTTCTCATAGAGAATAATGTGATAAAATTGGTTTTTATTCCAGATATTTCTTCCAGATAGTGACAGAGCAACAGAATATCCCTATGGTCTTTATTTATACATGCTTCACAGCTTTGTAAACTTTCACCTTGCCACTCAGAATTATTTCTGGTAACGCATAAAAAATAAAATGAAGATGTGTCTTTGAGACAACTTCTCATACTATAAATTCAGTGGCTCAGCTATGAAGAGTAAATATCTTGTGCTTTTAGAATAAATCTTTCTTTTTTTCCCCCTCATATAAATCCTTTCTTGATCAGGGATACACTAAAAATGCATTGTTGAATGATGTTAACTAAAAGTGATTAATCTAAAGACCAGAGCCCTGCAGCTGTATGCATTAAAACTTCCTCCTTTAAATAAAGGAAGATCCAATTTTATGCCAATAATTTCATTTTAAAAATGCATCCAAAATGACAGATCATGTTTTCCCTTGGCAACCAGATAAAACTTTAGTCTCATCTCTGTTAAATGAGGCATCAGAGTGGGCTTGCCAGTCTTCTCTCAGCTGTAGAGCTCACACAACACGTTTGCACACAAACCTACCATCTCCACTACTATTCCAAAGCATGCCAACTTCCCCAGCCTATTGCTTGACTCCAGTAGTGATCAGCAAAGCATTTTTCACTCCCAAGTTCAGAGCCCACCCCTCTGCTCCTACAAAAACTGTGATACCAGCCACTAAATTCAGAAGCAAACTTCTTGTAACTTAGCTGGCAGTGGTACAAGATCCCAAGAGCCTCAGAACAAAGACACAGCTGTTTTGACTACTTTTGTATATTAAGTTCTTTAAACCTCCCTATAGTAAAAAAGAACATAAAAGTCTTCTGCATGCTAATTGGCCAGCCAATACAAAATGATTCCTAAAATAAAACGTTGTTCATGTAAAGTACATAAATTTATGTTACGTCAGGCCAACCTCTGTATCTCTGCACTAGAATACCAAATTAGGTCTCTAAGTTTCCCATGGGAAACACTCCAAGTCATTAGGTCCACCACTGCCACCACTACTGGGTTCTGCTTTCTGCAAGGCTTCAAGCCTGGTTTGTCTTCCATCTCATTTTGGTCTTGCCATGCCTTCTGCTTTCTAAATAGTCTTACTCTGTAGAGTTATGGCCATAAAGAACAAGGAGAAATTAATGGTACATGTTGCAATCTGTCTCTCTGCCCACTTCACAGCTCTAACTTTGGAACATATTCAGTTATAATGGTGACAGCAGAAAACTGCTCCTCCTTTAGGAGGATTTCCTTGCCTAGAATTTAGGAAAATTCTGTAAGACTAAATATATGATATGAGCACTTCTTGGCCAGTACAGCTACAGCATGTTTTGCCACACATGGAGAACTAATTTAGATTCTTTTTACTACTAGAATATCCTCCCTTAAGCCCTGATTTGAATCTTCTGTGCAAAAGTAAATTGCATCCAAAGAATGCCAATTAGCAGTTATTTAATCATAGAATCCTTTAGGTTGGAAATGAGCTCTAAGATCATCAATTTCAACAATTAATCTAGAACTGCCAAGTACTCTACATTTTAGAAAAAAAATCTGTTTTATCAATGCAGCCAAAATTACGAATTCTGAAGGATTGGGCACTTCTTTTGCAGATTTGATTTGCAGGTCAGAGGAACAAAGAAATTTTAGAGTACAGCCTTAGGAAAGTAAACATGCAAGGCATATGCAGAAAAAACTCCGAAACA